CGGGGATGTACCGGGGATGTACCGGGAATGTACCGGGGATGTACCGGGAACGTACCGGGGCCGGGCCGGGGATGTACCGGGGCCGGGCCGGGGATGTACCGGGGATCTACCGGGAATGTACCGGGGATGTACCGGGAACGTACCGGGGCCGGGCCGGGGATGTGCCGGGGATGTACCGGGGCCGGGCCGGGGATGTGCCGGGGATGTACCGGGAATGTACCGGGGATGTGCCGGGGATGTGCCGGGGGCTGTACCAGAGCCTGTACTGGAGCTGTACCCAGGCTGTACCAGAGCCTCTACTGGGGGTGTGCCTGGGCTGTACCTGGGCAGTACCAAGGGCTGTACCCAGGCTGTACCAGCCTTTACTCCCCGGGGCTGCACCTCCCTGTCGCGATGCTGCAGCCGCTGGCACGCAATAGGCCTCATTTTTCAACACCCAAACGCATAAAGATGTCAGCTCAAACTGTTTACTAATTAACACTTAAAAAGACACAAATTAGATATGCGTGGCTAAGAGCAATTATAATCAAGACGAATCTCTCCAGTCATTGGGGAACTGAGGAAACTCCTAATTGCTGGAACCAATGTTTTAAAATCTGAAATCATGCCAGTTAGCAAATATGTTCATTTAAAGAACATTTCATGTGACTGCACTCAGGAGAATTGACTACAAACATGCAAACAAGGAAAAATATTTCTGTGTAAAATTAAAATTTTAAGCCCTTCTAGATTTACAACTTCTTCATTAAATATATTTGCAAAAAGCAGCCCATGAAAACTTGTAGCAATTCAGTGGTTAAATGAACTGCCTTCCTTATCAGTTTAAAAGGAATGATGAATATTGGATGCTCCTTTTACTAATTAGACTCTCTCTAGACTTTTTACACCACGCCAAGTGCAAATGAAGACAGGGTGCACCCTGCCAGCGGCCAGACCGCTGCCCTCGCTGCCACAGCATCTGCCAGAGCTGTGAACAGTGACAGTGCCACCACCTTTGCTATCACCTGCACCTGCCCAGGTGCCTGCCCAATGACTCTACCCTACCCAGGACAGACAGGGGTAGAAGGACAAATCCCCAGAGCCCTGCTGGGAGACCTGGCAGCAGCACTGGCCGTCCTACATCCACCAAATTAGCCCTGAAGTGACAGCACTGCTTACACCTGCACTTCACCACCTCTTCATAGCCCAGCTCTCTGTGCACTCTAGCCTCGGGCACAGCTGTGCCATCCTGGGGCAACGAGAGCAGTTCAGGTGCAGACCAGGATTTGCATGTATTTCCATCATTTTCCTGACAGGGTAGAGTCCTGAAATTCAGCTGCCTGCAGCTTGGAGGATGGGTGCATACATCTGCAAATGTGGTGACAGAGAACAGTAATTCTTGGAATTCTCTGGGAATATTTTTTGCAAGGCATCTTGCTCCAGGGAGAATGTTCTGGCTGCTTTGGATATCCAGAAGATTTGCTGTAATGGTGCTATTGCTTGCAAGGGAAATAAAGCCATGCCGAAATTCACAATATTTATATGTGTAGCTCTCTATGTGCAGACAAGATGCTTCATCAAGGAATATGGGCTGCATAATCATACTTTTCATTATGCTGGAACGCACCAGCCTGCTACAGAGCAGGAGCTGTGGGAGAGCAGGCAGGTCTTGGCCTCTCCTCCCTGGCCCACCAGTGCTGGTGTCCCCCCACCCCACAGGCCTGCAAGGGCACTGCTGGGCTGTGCAGCCCAGCCCCTCCAGGCAGCCCCCAAGCTGCCAGACCTCTCCCACACCAGGCAGCACACAGAGACGATGCAGAAGCGAATTCAGCACCACACGGATTCCCCTTTGGCCAAAGGGACCATCTGCTCCCTGGCCAGCTTAGGGCAAGAGCACGTGGAAGGGCTGCCAGCCCTGAGCATCCCCTGCTGCCAGGGTCCCTCCTGACAGACACAGGCAGTCCCAAGCAGAGAGGTGGCACGTGTGCCACGTGGCAGACTGCAGTGCCTGAGGCCGTGGGTGCATCTGTCAGCCAGCGCCCATGCAGGCAGCACCTTCAGATCCACAGCTGCAGCCACTGCAGTCCCACAGGGCACCTGCAAAAGCCCTGGCAACTGGGCCTGATCATCTTCTAGCACTCGGACAAAACTTTCAGGCAGAAGAGGGTGGATCTGGGCAACTGGACTCAACTGGAATGAAGAAGTGGAGAAACTCTTGAGGAATGTGGCAGCTTTGCAATGTCATCTTCTCACTCTCTCCCTTGAACCCAGCTAGATGGCATAGGAGGAGGCCTTTGTGACCAATGGTGCCTGAAGAAGCATGTGCTGCTGAGACAAGTTTTTCCTACCCTGAGAGTTCAGATGTGAAGCACCCTTTGCAGAGCAGACAGCTCCTAGGCACTGTGCCACACGTGTGTGTGCCAGAACGCTCCCTCAGAACCACCCCTGGTTTGGTGGTGGCCTCCTCCCTGCGCTCCTCAAACATTCACTCCCACTCAAGTGCAGCCCAGCTCTCCCAGCAACAACTTCCCAGCATCAGCAAACTAAAAGCTCATGAAGATGTTTACCTGACGTTGCTGAGTCAGGTCCATCTGCCTCCCTGACATGCAAGAGGCACCTAAGAGTGTTCTGCCACTACCATGTATTGGTAATACCTGAGAAAGAGAGGCTAACCAAGACAGACATCTGGAAATAAACAGAAGGCCCCACACTTTGCCATTAAATTCACCACCTGAAGTGTCTTCACTCATCACAGATCATAGAAGGCATCCCTGACTCTGGGCTTACTGCTTGACTTTATCCATCCTCTGTGACTTGGGAGAGACAAGAAAAGTATTTTCCATAAGGGAAGGGTTCTTAAAGAGAAGTGAACACAGCCCTTGTGATTTGCTTTTAAGTGCCTGGCAGGCTACTTACCTCCTTTTCGATTTCTGCAAGGGTTTTGATTGTGATACCCAAGAGATCAACCGGCTGCATCTGGCAAGAAAGAAACAAAAATATCAAGTTCAGGGTCAGGGAGGGGGTGTGTGTTTGTTTGTTTGTTGTTTTGTTCTGTTTCAAGTTGGCAAACACTCCACCACTAGAGATTTAGAGGCACCATCTGTAAACACAGGCACAGTCCTGTTCCTCATTCCAGTAGGAGACTGGAACAGCAGACGGTGGCTGGGGCTACCAGCTTCAACACTGCTCTCCCCCAGCACGGCAGCTGACACTCACCTCGTGCTGCTCTGCCACCGCCCCACTGCAGGACGGGTCTCCAGCACTGGCTGCGGCTCTGTGGCTGCAGCACGAGGTGCGAGCAGCACCAGCTGCAGGAAGCCCTGACCAAAGTGACCATATGGTGGCAATGGTGTCTAAAGGATCCGCGGGGAGGATTAGCACGACCTAATCTCTCTGCATTTGTCCTCGCAGCAGGGACTTCAGATTTCTGGGAATAATGGCCCATAAACAACCCTCTCAGAAAGCAAGGGATGTGAAAAACTGCTGTCAGCAGGAAGAAAGCAAAAAGCTGGAGCACTACTGAAAAATCAGACACAGCTGATGGCCCAGTGTTTGCCTTAACAGCTTCCTGTAACTTGATTTTTAAAAAGATGCTGCTTTAGGATCAGATGGATTCGGGAACTAGTAGTGGGATGCTGAATCCTTCAGCTCCGGATCATCAACCTTAACAAGCACTGGTCCAGTGAGAGCCAGAGGTCATTGTGAAGCAGCAGCAGTGTTTCTGCTTGGGGAAGCAGACGTGCCCTGCCCGTGCTGGTGCACGCTCCGCTGGCGTGGCCCTGCTGTGGAGCAGGCACCACCCTCTCCAGCTCACCCACGGCCAAACAGGACCCTGGTGGCAGCTGGTGGCACTGGAGTGCACCATGCCACTACCACTGCCCTGAACTTCTGGAGTGACAACAGGAAGCAGTAAAGCTGCTGGCACTATGCCATCCTCACAGCAGGTAAATGCAGGAGAACTCCACCTCTGCAGCTTTCTTTACAGTCTAAGCTAAGAAAATAGAAATGCTTTCAGCACCAGGAACTCCCATTGCCATTCCTATTTTTGATGGTAATAAACCTTGAAATCTCAGGACAATTCAGTTTTAGCAGCAATCTGGCAAAAGCCTTTCCCATCTAACAGGCAGCTATTGTGACATGCAACCTCAGCCCACCTCAAGCACTGGGTGTGTATTTGGCCCACACTGGCTATGAATTACCCCAGAAGCAGGTAATTTGTCTTGATGTTTTGTGATTGCTCCCCATGAAACGATGGATTTCAGACACTGGGGGAACAACAAAAGCAACTCACCCCTTCAGGAGCGCAGGCAAACTTCTCCGAAATCATGAAAGGCACTCCATCCATTGCTGAAAGGGACAAGACATCACAAGTGACGTTTCCAGCTGCCTTCTGACATGCAACTTCACACATTCCCAGTGACAGATCAAGTAGTCACAGCACTGACACATGACTGATTGCTCCCAAACATTACTGCCAGCCTTTTTCTCCCTCTAAGCTGCCAGTGGTTTCTTTCCATGTAAGACATAGCTGGGTCAATCCCTACCAAGCCAGGAATTCAACAAATTCTTCTTGCTCTATTCATATAGGATTTCACGGCCTCAGTTTTGCATTTTCCAATTTCGTGCACCTGGCAAAGCAGGACAGTATTTGAAACTGGAAGGACACATTTCTATTTATCACCTCCTCACCAAACCTGTTCAGCACTTGAGCAAGAGAATAAGGAACAACTGGTTCAGGGGACTTGTAGCCCCCAAAGCAGTCAACACCACCACCTGTGTACCAGGCAGTAAGCTGCCACCACCTCCGTAGGATGATGACAAATACCTGGGGCCAAGCACCCTCCCTGGCCTGGCTGTTGCTAGTGTAAACTCAACAGTGAACAGTGGCTCAAACACTTGCAAACCACATCTAGAGGATGTAAACCAGTGGAATATGAAGACAGATATGAGGACATGACACCGCCTCATGTCACATGGCCCAGCTTTTTCTGTAGCATAACCTCAATGGTACTCAGAGCACTGTTTACCTTTATACCATCTTGTATATTTGTCCTAGTGCAATGATGTTCAGTGTTTGTGTCTTGCTATCACCATGTCACAGGAAGCCTCCCACAAGATGTGGTAGTACAAGGGAGACACTTAAAACACGTAACAGCCATTTGCACAGAAGACTGAAAAGGGCAGGTCACACTCCAGATACACCCCCTTTATTGCACTTACACCTTTAACATCTGAAGTCTTTAAATTTCAACTCTGAAAGAAATAAAGCTTCAAATTAGAGCAAATTTAAGCCCTGATAGGCCCTCCAGTGATCCTCAAATAGGGTTTTCTTTCAGAAACAATCTGTGCGCACAAACCCGGTGCTCTTCTGTCTGCTTTTTCTAACTTCTACAGCACCACCGAGTTACCATGTCAGTGATTAAACAAGGGTCATTTAAGAATACTCAGCCTTTTACATTTGCTTTGTCTATTTTCAATATAAAACCCCCTCCACGGGAGTAATTTTGTTATCAAAGGTGCTGCGTGGCAGCCACAGAGCAAAGGAAAACAAAAGGAAACAGATGAAAAGCAGCATCACCGAATCCAGGAAGTTTTAAACCTGAAAGACCATCTGCACTTGTTATCGGACAGAAAGCCCCTTTGATCAGCCACACGCCAGCTTTTGTAAAGTAATCTAAAGCCTGAGCTCCGGGGCTGTGGCTGCAGCGTCCCAGCCCCGGCCCCGGCCCTCCTGGCACTCCGCAGCCAGAGCGCGGCAGCAGATAAAAACAGGGTGAGCCAAGGGCTCCGCAGCGCAATTAGCACGCTCCTAAACAAACGAGCTTCCACAGAGCTGTAATTAAGCAGGCCTGTAATTAAGTATATGCCCTTTATCATAACGATCATGCTTAAAAATGGCACGATGCATGGAAGTGTGTTATTAATGCTGCGCTCCCCAAGCGCGGGAGCATGTGTGGAGCTGCCGTGTCAGGCCCGTCACCAGCCTGCTGCTAAAATGCATTAAAGGCAGAAAGCAGAAAACAAGGTGCTCATTCAGCGTCTCCTTTCTCAGCCAGGCACCGGTGTCACGGGGGTTTAAATACCACCAATTCTGGAAACTTCACAGAAACGAAGCCCTGGGCAGCCACTGCCACTGCCTGCCCCAGCACCAGGAGAGGCAGCAGCCCTCACCCCTTTGCCCCGTGGCTGGGTCGGGTTCCAGGAGCCCTCTGGCCACCCAAGGGGCTGCAGGCAGGCAGTGGGGACCCCCAAGACAAGATGCACGGGGAGCAGCGCTCCCTCGAGTCCCTCCCTGGCTGAGCAAACGTCCTGAACAACAGAGATGCTCTGGGGGCAGGACCCTTCTGTGCCCCCCACCTCACCTGTGGGTCCCCTGCTCACAGGATGACACACCCACTGCTGCTGCCCCAGATGGGCTTTTTCACATTCACAAGGACTTCAAGGGTGTGCTCTTCTCCCTCAAAATGGAACAAAATAAAATGGGGCTTCAGAAGGAAAACTGTTTGCAGTGGCTGTTTGCTGTCTCCCAGGATCAGCTCCTTCCTGAGGGTCACAGCTAATTAACTCAGGCACTGCAATTAGTTAAGAGTTGAAAGGAGCCAGCAGCCAAAACAGGACAGTGTTGCCATGCATCCCTGGCAGCAGGAGTGGATGGATGCTGCAGTGAGTGGACATGCCCCTTCATCGGAGCAGGACCACTGGAACTCACCACTGGCTTCCACCTGGTGGCTACTTCTTCACTCTAATTTACCAAGACTTGCTCTCAGGCTCTAGTGGGGAGGACACCAAGGCATGCTCTATAATTCAACTTGCTAGCTTGCTTAGAAATCCTCTCTTTAATCTGTGCAAGTATTGTCACCCTTCTCTGAGCACTCGAGAGATGCTGCCTTCTGTGTTGCAGACTCCGACTAAATCTCAGTTGTCAAATTAGTAATTCATCTTTCTTGAATAACTATATTTTTAGCCAAGCTACCAGATTTAAATAATCAGACCTGCCAATGCTACCCTAATTTAAACATGCTGACGAACTTTCACAGGCAGCATCAGCTAACATAATGAGTTTCTGGATGACAAAGAACTTCAGACGGTAGTTCTCTACACTACCCAGCGTAATAAGCACTTGTTCTTTTCTACAATGTGCACATAAAAGAGAAATCTAAATAATAGTTGCTGTAATTATCTTGAAAAATATGTGGTGATTAATGGTGATTATGAAAATCTGTATAATTGTTCACTAATGCTCCAAAGATCAGATGTTCTCTTGAAGCAACCATCAGTGAAGAACTTGGAAACACAAAAGCTTCCAAGCTGCTGTCCGTGTGAGAGTGGGATCACCGTGTGCCAGCTCAGCCTTCGCCCTCCCGTGACCTCTGCCAGAGGCCCCAGGATGCCCACGATGTGACGCATGTGTCATTGTGGCTGAAAGCACCAAGTTCAACCTGTTATTTATGCAAATAATTAATTACTCCTGTATCCAACTCACAGTTTGTCATGACACATTAATGACTTGATAGACTTCTATGAACTAGTGAGCACAGGACAGCAGAGTGCTTTTATCGTCATTTAATTTAAAAACGATCCTGTGTGAAATTATCTAGTTGTGAGTGATGGAAGCATAAAGAACAGACTCAGCAAAGCTTCTTTTGGATCATTGCTTTATTAATGGTAACGTCAGGGAAATGAAAAATGCTAACATTGTCATATTTAACTCCTGGGTACAGATGAATCGCTGCCTCAGAGCCTGGCAGGCTCCGTTTGCACACTGCAGTGAGCGCTAATTCCTCACACCACGATTGTGGGGATACACAGCCACCAAAGAGTTTATATACCTTAACTCCCAAGGAAATAACAGCTGTTTCTGCATTAAATTCTCACCATAAGCTTTTATAGCTTTGGATTTATTTATTGCTGGTTTTGCACAGCCTTTTACACTTGAATTTTCAATTTCTGATATTAAAAATATTTAAATAAATAAATAAATCCCTCGCAAACTGTTTTCCTGCATGACTGAAAATGAAGAACTGTTAATCCAAACCAACAAAAAGCCCAACACTGAGTACACTACTACCACCTTTAAAATTTAAATGACCTTAGATTTTAGAAAGGCCTTTCTCTAATGCTGCAGAACTGTTCCCATTTTCCCCAGACCTGAATGCTAACAGAGTGTTTATCCTTCACCAAGAAGAGTATCTCATAAACCAGCCTACAGCAACACCATAAAACCAGCAGAGCTCCCCTGCTTAGAGAAAACTTGATTTTCAGCTAAATGGCACCAGAGGACTCCGAAAGCAGATTGAGAATCAGGGCTGGCACGCAGCTCTGGCACAGCAGCACTTGGAGGGGAGCCCTGGTCAGGCTGGAGGGACACAGGAGCCCTGTCTGGTGTGGGCAACAGAGGTGCCCACCAGAAGGGCCACTGAGCCCAGCGGTGGGTGGGCCCCAGCCCACAGGAGCTCTGAAGGCTGCTCCACTGGAGCAGGAAAGCACAGCCACGAGCAGCGTGTGCCCAGCCTGGCGAGGACAAGGGACTGCTGTCTCCAGCAGCAGCACACCCCCGCGTGGGGCTGGGCTGGGGCTCAGCTGAGGTGACCCACAGCAGACAGGACATGCCACGGGGAGCTGGTGGCACAGCATGGTGCCATCCAGGGCAGGCTGCAGCCAGGCCACCTGCCCTTGGTGCCCTTTTGCAGCTCCTGCCAAGCACACAGCCCTGGCTCCCACCCTCTGCTTCCCACCACATGTCCCGGTGTGAGCCCTGCACTCCTGAGCTGTGCACCCGTGCATGGAGGGCAACGCAGGATGCTGCACCCTGAGTACAGGGAAAACCACTCAGATCTATGAAGAAATGTTTTCAAACAGTTTGCAATGCATCCAGAGAAGGGTGTGAGCTTTTCAAACCAACCCAACTCTCCATGATGCTAAGCCTCCTATTCCTGTATTTCTAAACAGAGAGATCTAAACAGCAACCTGAACAGTAAATGTGTGTGTTCTTTGTGCTACAGTGCACCAAGGCCCATATGGAACCACACCGAATCACTGATGGCGAAGCCTCAGGGACAACACCAAAAGCAGCCTTTCCTGACAGCTCCTGCCAAGCAGGCTGCAACAGGGAACCTGCAGCTGTGCCAGCTGTGCTCCCCAGCTGCAGACACCAACTACAACATGCATGTTGTACTGTCACACAAGGAAGTGCAGAGGTGCAGGCAGGGGCACAGGCAGGGACACAGACAGGGCTGCAGGGCTGAGCTCTGCTTGCCCAAGGCACGAGCCCAAGCTCCCGAAAGCCCCAGAGGACCTCATGTGGCTCTGGGGGCAGCAGGGCTGCAGGTCCCACGGCTCCTGGGCAG